CGCCACCTGACTCCTGAGAGTACTGGGAGACAGCCCTTTATCCATTCCATCAAGCAAAAACTGTAGAACCTGAGGAACAGTGAGAGAAGACAACTGAACATGATGACTAGACATCCAAGATGTAAACCTCCTCCAAGTAGAGTCGTAAACTCTATTCGTTGAGGGTCGCCTAGAAGCCTGGATGATATCAATGACCCTCAGAGGATAATCCTCCTCAGTCAAACGTCTCCGCTCAAACGCCATACGTTTAATTGTAACCATTGAGGATCGGGATGGCGAAGCGCCCCCTGAGTGAGTACTATCCGGTCTGGGGGTATCTGCCACGGAGTGGCTACTGATAGGCTCATGAGGTCGGCGAACCAAGGGCGCCTCGGCCAATGAGGGGCTATGAGAACCACCTCCGCCCTCTCTCGCAGAATCTTGCGGATGACAGCCGGAAGTATGGGAAGTGGAGGGAAAGCATAAAGAAGACCCCAGGGCCACGGGATGCGCAGGGCGTCCACTCCCTCCACCCTTGGAGACTGAAAACGGGATAAAAACCTTGGAAGTTGGGAGTTGTTCGCCGAGGCGAACAAGTCTAGGATTGGGTGTCCTACCCTGCGAGATATGTCTGAGAACAGGTCTGGATCCAGTTGCCACTCTGAATGATCCACCGTCGCTCTGCTGAGAGCGTCTGCCTGCTGGTTGACCTCCCCCAAGATGTGATCCGCCTTTATCGATGACAGGTTGGCCTCTGCCCAAGAGCAGAGCAGTCTGGCCTTTGCCATCAGAGAGCTAGATCTGGTGCTCCCCTGACGGTTCACATGTGCTTTGGCCGCAATGTTGTCCGTGAGGACAAGAACGTGCTGGCCTCTCACCTCGTGTCTAAAGTGACACAACGCCAGATGAATTGCCCTCAGTTCCAGCCAATTTATACTGTGTGATAGATCCTCTTTGGACCATCTCCCCTGGGCAATTTGAGACTGGAGGTGAGCCCCCCAGCCAAAAAGGCTGGCATCCATGGTAAGCACTATTCTTGACTGTTCCCTGAATTTCGAGCCCTTGTTGATGGCTCGAGAACGCCACCAGTGGAGTGACTGTGCTACTAGAGGAGTCAACCGCACCAATATGTTGGAAGATGATAATTTCCTTCTCTGAAAGGGAAGGAGGAACCATTGCAGGGCTCGTGAATGAAGTCTGGACC